ATACAACTGAATAACTTATTTCATTACGGATCAATTTGATCATCTTTGGTTCTAATTTGTTACAACCTGGTTATTTTAATTTTTTAAACTAATGCAGATTTTCACAACGGGGGTTTGTGGAGATTGTAGTAATTTTTAATAATTTAATTCATGAGTCCATTGACGGTAGTATGGCATTCCTGAGCAGTACGCATTCAAGATCCCGCACGTCGGACTCAAACCCAAAACCTTCAGTTTAACAAGCGAGCACTTGACCACAAGACCACTGATCCGGCATCCAACGGTGTTAATATCTAACTCCAATCGATCCATGATCTTTTGCAACCATTCATCCATTGTCTGAGGTAGATACCTGTCTCTACCCGACACTGGTTTCACTCCGCTGGTCACGGCTTGTTTTTACAGTTCTTTATAGTATTTAACCGTCGTAAACAAACCATCGATATACTACATTACTACTACTAATACTAATATTAGCACTGACACTTAATAATAAGAATAATGATGCACTGAAAACAACACACATAATTGTTTGGTTTTTATTTAGTAATAATAATATCACTAGTCATAAAGTGGATTCATGAGTAATAAAACATTTCAGTCGAAAACAAAAATGACAGATTCTTACTGTCATCATTTTCAGTTCATTAATCATCATTACAATTCACTGATTGATGATGATTTATTTGAAAAACAAAATAGAATTCCTTGTAAAATATAGTTGGTCAAGGTGTAACAATTAGTACAAGACTACTTACAACTAGATCTTTATCAAATTTTACTCTAATTTACGATAATATTTGTATGGTATATGAAAACTCCTCCTAGAGCCCCTTTGGGCGCTTTGCCGGCCCCAAGCCCGGATAAAGTAGGAGGGTTGGGTATAGGGTTAGCGACCACATCCCGTAGAAAACTAACTCTCTAAAAAACTCTTATCAGAAAAAATAATTCAAGCCATTCAAACTTTGCCCTGGGAGTTAGAAAGTCTCCATATAGAAAACTTATGACGCCTCATGGTGAAGGCCGCGTTCCTTCGGAAGTCACGAGACTGATGCTCCTTCTGAGAACCAGAGCAACAGTTAATTTAGGTACATGGAATGCTCGTGCAATGTGGGAGACCGGTAAAGTCTTCCATATTGTTGCAGTTACTGCATATGAAAAAAAATTTATTGAAACAATCAAGACAATTAATGGGTTAGTGATCATGAGTGGTTTATACATTAAGTCAAGGTTCCATGGAGAGAGAATCGTGTTGGAAAAAAAATGAAACAATTAAAGTTGTTATAGAAAAACACATGTACATAGGCATATATATATGTACACAGAAGCCTAATCATAAACATCAAAAAACTGGAACAAAATAAGACAAAATACAACAGAATTCTATCACATTTCAATTATTTGCGAATCAGTTCAGTAAATTCTGTTTCGTATCGGCTACTGACTTCGATGCAGGATGTACTAATGGCTTTACATGGATTAGAGTTCAAAAGATACCGCTATTATAGTAAACATTGTATGTTTAGACCACTATTTCAACTTTAATAAACACTCTATTCAATCAGTAACCCTAAGATTCTTATTCATTGTGGATAAGCACCAATAGCTAAGTATCCTCACAAAAAATTCAGGATTTTGTTTAAACACCTATGACTATTGTTTAGTTAGATAGTTAATTAAGAGATTAGTCCAGTTTAGAGATAATAGCTGGTTTTCACTAATACTTACCAACTCAAAAACATGAATCTATGACATCAAGAGAGACTGAACATAAGACCATTATAATGCATCGGTACCTTAAAAACTATAACAAACTATTCGAGAAATCATCAATAATCAATACTCACTTACTTACTTATGCCTATTACTCCTCGTGGAGAAGCATAGGCCAACCACTACCACTCTCCACCCAACCCTATCGTTGGCAATCCTTTCCAGCTCTTTCCAATTGTTATTCATCCTTTTCATATCTGCTTCTGATTCCCGACGTAGTGAGTTCTTCTACCTTCCTCTTTTCTGTTTCGCTTCAGGATTCCAAGTTGGGGCCTGCCTCGTGATGCAGTTTTTTGATTTGCATAGTGCATATCCTATCGATTTCCATCTTTTTTTCCTAATTTCCTCTTCAGCTGAAAGCTTTGGTATCCGGCCAATGGATGTAAATAAATACTTGTACTTTTTTGATGATGGTTGAGACAGTTCTCCAAGTTTCAGCTCCATACAGTAGAACTAACTTGATGTTCGTATTGAAGATTTTGACTTTGATATCGGTTGAAAGTTGTTTTGAGTTCCATATGTTCTTTGACTGTGAGAATGCCGCCCTTACTTTGACAGTTCTTGCCTTTACATCTGTATCAGATCCTCCTTGTTCATCGATGATACTTCCCAGGTTTGTGAAGGATTCTACATCTTCCAGAGTTTCTCCATCAAGTGTGATAGTGTTGGTGTTCCCTGTGTTGTATTTAGGGATCTTGGTTTTCCACATTGTGTATGTTGAGGCCTGCTGCTGCAGAGGCTGGTGCTACACGAGTTGTCTTCATCTGCATTTGTTCATGTGTATGAGATAAGAAATGATTAATACTATTATTAAAATATTAATAAGTAATATAATCTTACAAACAGAATAATAATGGTACAATGATGCAATTTATTCTATTCTATAAAAAACAATTTAGTTCTCTTACAAGATTTCATTGTTTTTCATACTAAAATTAACTGATAAATCATTAACTATGAATTCACTTTTATTCGAATGAAATACTGATTATTCAGTCTATATTCATTCATTATGCCATGGTTTCTCTACTTTTTATAGAATCTTTTGACAGTGGTCTTTCTCTCTCTCTCTCTCTTTATCTCTTTCTCTGTTTTAATTTTGGTTTGTGTGTGAAAATGTAAAACTGGACTAATAGTTTCTTCTCTTCTCAATTCACAATTCAAGTCAATGCCAAAGAATGTAAGGTTAGTTAGTGTATAATAATAATAATAATAATAAATCATTGTTGAAAAGTAATGTAAATGTATTTTGTTCTTCATTCATATATGATGTAATCCATTCAATCTATTTACTTGTAAAGAATGCTGATTACTGAAGATTGTGTAGGTGTAGAATGAAATGAGTAATTGAGTAGGTGAAATATGGACTAATAGAATTTCATTGATTTATTTATTTTTTTTTTATTTTTTTTAATTATTTTTCATTTATTTATTTATTTTTTATTAATAACATAAACATGAAAGGAATTTAAGAAATTTTGTTAAAAAAATATTTATCAACAACAAAACCGTATACATTGAATTGAATGTTGTGATGTTTGTTTGTTTTATATGTGTGTGTAACGAAAATTATTACTGCCAAACTTGTTGAATGATGAAAGAGATAGATGAATTTGAATTATTCTGGTCACTATAATCATTAATCCGGAAAATAATAAAGTTTAGAAATAAGTTTATCATGTATCTTCTTTAATATTGAAGTGAATTGAAGTCACAGTGTGTTATAAGTTAATAGGAATTTTACAATAGAATTTTCTGTGAACTGTGATACAAATACTTGATGATAGGTTCAAAACTCATTTCAAATAGAAATTTTGATGTCAAGTATTTAGAGATTCTTTGCAGGAAGTGTTGAAGTTGGATTCTGTAACAGTTGGTACTTGTCAGTAAGCCTTATCCATAACATTATGAGAAATGACAGTCTTTGTAGGATCAAAACCCACGTCACATAGCTTTGCTGAGATGTCAGCACGGAATTATTGAGGCATCGACTGGCATCATGTTGAATTAAGATACTTTTTATTAAGAATATTTATTTAACTACTAAGAAGTTTGGTTTCTAAAATTTCTGTGTTGTATCTAAACGTTCTGTTCTTACTTCCATTATCACTTCTCTCTTCCCACTTCTATTCATTTCATACTTTCCCGTTTCAATAATCGAAAATGAGGAAAGATATAGAGTATTGATGAGTTTTTAACTTTTACAGCTTATTTTTATACTTTGATATCATGCTAATGCTATCATTTAGGACTTTTGAAACGTATGAAGCCATTTGAGTTCTAAAGTGTCTCTATAAGTGTGACAAAGAGAATGAATGATGGCGAATAATAAAATTAACAACGACAGCATATTAATATACTTTCATTAGCCACCGATTGTGTTATAATGCAACCTATTGATGTGTTTGTTGGGATATTTAGAAAAATATCCCAAAAATTATTCTGTTAAGTTTAATGCTGTCCTTGGACTTGAAATGGTATCATTTTCCTATTGGTCAATATTTATTTCACGTGTCATTTTCCTGTTTGCCAAATATAGTACAAATGTTATTTTCTATTTTATGGTACGTTGTAATCTGCTTGATTGGTATATAAACAGAGTATTTTTGAAATATAATGATTCATATCGCAGAGGCTGAGACTTGTGTTCTGGACTTGTCTGGCTGGGCTAGGAGGAAAGCAAGGCCAACCAGAACTCTAAGCTGCTCATACGAGTTTACGCGTCATTGTTCCAATCGTTAAGTCACTGCTCTCTAATCGGCGGTCACAAGTTATAACAGTGTTAAGTAACGATTTCGCGTAAATGAACTTTTGAATAATGAAATTATACAAGACAGGAACGATGAGGTGGATACTGAGTGAATATCCTCTGAACTTGAATTTTATCAATGTCACATATATTTTGATGTTATTATATTCAATATCAATCTAGTTCGACAAAACTCTTCATTTTGTTTAGTTACAATTGTGAATATCATTTGAAATTTGTTTATACTATCTGCTGTAATCATTTGAGTTAATGAAGAATGAAAACAAAAATTTAGATAATTGTGAAGAAGAAATGCCAAATTTGATCATGTTACCTGAGTGATATACTTTAGCTTTTCTAGTTAACCAATCACAATGATAATAATAAAGGTCATTTATATACATGACTATGATCAAGTGTAATTATCCAATCACAAATTAACATGTTTATATACATACGCACACACATATTTGGAATGATTTTTAGCACTTGTTTCAAATAATGAGAGATCAATGGTGAAAATAAGATTCATAAAGTAGATATTAATCACGTTTACACTATTACTTTCAGTTTACTTTTATAATAGTAAACACTTATAAATGTGGAATATAGACTTCGCCAATAAATTTTCCATTAAATATATAGTTGAATAGGGTAAAAATGATCTTTTATATCGTATAATGAATGGTAAATTGATGTTTGACAGTGAATCAGCCCCAGGTGGACCATCTGGAAGACAAGTATCACAATCATCACAATACATATCTAAATTAACTGGTCACAATTTCGATGTAGACTTTGCACAAAAATTAAGAATGCAAAAACATAACAATCAATTGGCTTCGTTACAAAAAATAAATTATCCTCAACAACAGCATTCATTCGATTCACATCAGTACGATAAACGTTATCCTTTACAACTTATCTCTGGACAGTTAGAATTAAAACATAATTATTCGGATTCTGATGAACCGTCTAGTTTTTATCAACCAATACCATCAAAACAACATTATTATTCATCATATCGTCGATTTAAAACATGTGATCGTTTGCCAAAACATAAACACTTTGAAAATTCATTTCATCCAAAGCCGTTGAATTCTAATATATTTATGTCACATACTGATCATCACCTATCTAGTACGCCAACAGTAGCTGGACTTAGTGAATTACAAACAGACAATAAAACAATGTCTTTAACAACACCATCAGCACAAATGCCTACTACTTTGTCTCTCCCACTTCAAATTTCGCGTGAAACAGCATTTAAGCCGATAAATCATAAAACTTTTGATAGAAATGCATCCTCCTCTTCTTCTCAGTCTATTCATGAATGTAACAGTGAAAGTTACGTCATCGCTAATGTCAACAATGAAGTAGGTCATAGTAGTAATAACGTAAAAATAAATTCCACACCGAATTTATTAGATTATATCAACACAATTAATTCTTCTGTTAGCAGTTACAAGTATAATAATCCATTGATCTATGCACAACAACAGTTCCACTTACAACAACTTAAACAGTTTCAACAACGTGACATACCAAATCATGGTGATAATAGATTACCGACAACTGGAAAAAACTGTACCACAAGAAGTATGGAAGAACTTTTGAAGCGACAAAAAAAGGTAAATAAATAAATATTCAATGAGTGATTTATGTTAGAATCTGTATTCTGTGTTCAACTAGTTATATCGTGTTGGTGTCATATTTGATAAAGTAAGGGGAAATGTTTTGTTTATTGTGAATTATTAAAGTCAATGTTTAATAGAAAATTGTATGGATAAATGAGTTTCTCAGTATCTAATAAAAACACAGCTTTTCTATTGACAAAATGCACCAAAATATATGGCTTGAGAGGAAAGAATGAATAGGTACGGGTCATCTGTTTAATTGATCTTAACTAATATTTAGATTTTAAATGATCCTGCAAGCGGGATCGGAGATGAGCACTTCTGACGAGTCCCATACTGGGACAAAACGACCGTCTAGTGCTTTTAGGTTTTCCTTGGTGGTCCAGCGTTAATCGATTCATGAATTCAACTATTGATTTTAAACAGCTGATTAATCAATAATCTATTGTATACAACTAATTAATTAAAATTTCAATATTAGAAATATCACAAGCTATAACAATAAAAACTGATTTATAGCATCATATGCTCGATATACTCTTAAAAAGAATAATTATTTCATGAAAACCTGGATCCTAATTGAAATTCTAAAAGGAACATTTTGTTACATTTTGATTATTGATATTAAGAGATGTTTGTCACGAACAATATCAACGCAAAAGACGCTTTCAATATAAGATATATTTATCGAGTAACAAAACTGAAAAAGAAGCAATAAATCAGTATAGGGTTGTGGAAATTCATGAGTTTTATTGAGGTCCTGACCTAATCAATGTTAGAGAATAACTGAAAAGCTGAAGGCCTTGGAAAACCGTTTTGTCCAAGTATGAGGCTCGTCAGCATCGACTGTAAACTCAGGGATCGAACCCAAGTCTCTTGATCTTTCGTGCACAAACTCTTAATCTTTAGATCAGTGAGTTTATACCCAACAGTATTAATGTTTAATTTCATTCAATCCACAATATTGGGGAACAAACAAGTACAAAACGGCCGTCCAACATTGATGAATATTTTTTATTCCTTCATTTATAAATTATTACCTCATTCTTTGGAGTAGTTAAATTTATATTATTCACTGCCAAGTTCCTTTTACTTTTACAATGAAGATCAAAATTTCATTTTGTTCTGTTCTAGAGTAAATCTCTTTACTTATGAAGCTTTATCAAGATTGAACATAAGATTTCAATGTTATAGAATTGGTTAATTAACTATTCTGTAAACACTGTTTACATGTGAATAAGGCTAATAGATAAAATTCCTAATTCTTAGAATTCTTAGCAAAATAATATCTTCTTTCCCATTGTGTATGTAGATTATTAATTCAAATACATTTATAGCATTTTAAAGAATTTAAATGAAATATCTGTTATGAGATAGTAACTCACTGATGACAATGGTGGATATGTCGATCAATTTCGTGTATTAGTTGAAGTTAGACATTAACACCGTTGAATGCCGACCAGCTCAGTGGTCTAGTGGTTAAGCGTTCGCATGCGAGACTGATAGTTATGGGTTTGAATCTCGCGAGGGGGGAATCTTGGATGCGCACTGTCACAGAGGAGTCCCACAATAGGACGAAACGGCCATCCACTGCTTTGAGGATTTCCATGGTGATCTAGCTTCAATTGATTTATGATCTCAACCATTGAAATCACTACAATCTTCACAAAACTCCTTCGGATACTAAATTACATTTTCAACTTTACATTCAATTCATCACGAATCACTGAATTGTGTAATTCTAGATGTTTTATTTTTGTTTCAGTGAGTCGTTCACAATTTGAAAAAAAAACAGTTTTTAATTAAAATAACAATGATTTTTTTTATTAGAATACACTTTATTTGTCATGACGTCTTGCAAAGTATATATAAATATAAATTATCGATTGTAACTAATATAATGGTTGTTTAAACTACTTCATCTCAATCTCTCGTATGTTACAGCAATACGTTAAAATGATCATATGACTAGTCACATGATGACAGAACCAGGATTGATGACCCAAAATAGAGAACCAAATTAACACTAAATAATATTTTACTCAATACAGTTACGTGCAGTCACACTTAGTGAGTCCGAAGTATAAACCAATGACAAGGAGGGAAATCACGTATTTAATAGTCCGTTGCCTGTAGCTGTTTGTCTAGGCTCAATGACCCATCATACTTTACTTTCACCAGCATATCAATAACTTTTATCATTGAAGTGATATTAATTAACAAACAGTTTTGATCATTGTGGTTTTCATTTGAAAAATAACTAGTTACGTCGAAATTACTTTCTCTTATTTTCTAGTGTGATTTTGTTACCATGTGAAACATAATACAAATTGTTTTCAATGTTGTTAATTGAAACACATACCGCTTCTGATGATCTTCAAAATTTAAGTTATAAATATATTTCAATAATTGAGATTATGAGTCAATAGAAGCTAGACCACCATGGAAAACCTGGAAGCACATGAGGGCCGTTTCGTCCTATTGTGAGACACCTCAGCAGTGCACATCTACGACAAAACGGCCTTTCAGTGCTTCCACGTTTTCCATGGTGGTCTAGCTTTAATTAACTCATGAATTCAACAACTGAAATTACTACAATCTCCACAAAACCCCTTCTGTTATAAATATATATCATGATTATTTTTCGGTCTACTGTAATTGTTATCACTTAAATGAATACGTGTCTGAAGATGACCTTCAGAAAACCATTAGTCTGGGTTTCTGGTAAGTTGACACTAATCTGTAAGTCACGTCAGCGATTATAAAGGGACTGATGCTCCTTGTGATATTTGAAGACGCGTAAACCGTCTTCAAGTCATGAATGTTTACCATGGAGTTGTTTAGCTTGCTAATTTTCTTCTGCAGGACTGAGTTATTTACAAATGATTTATATCTGAGTTGAGGACCAATGCCTTGTTTGTCAATCATTTCTCCATATGTATCTATTTGATTAATTGGGTTTTGATGTTATGTTGGTTCTTTCCTTCATAGATTAACATTTAATTACTTATTTGGCTACTCTGTAAAGTTATTTTCAATTATCGCTTGTTTGAATACAGTTAAAATGATGCTCTACCCATTGTATACCTGGTGATAGGCAATTGATTTATTCCATACTAAAATCTTCATAAAAAACCAGAATTCACGATATTACGGTCGTAATTAGTGGTGGTCGTCGGTTTCCGAATAGATTTTTCGACGTTTATTTAAAAATTCTTGACCAATCCAGCGAAAAATGCTCAAGCTGAAGCGAAAACACATTCAGAACATTAGATTAGGGAAACTATGATTTATAAGCTACCGTTTAAGCTATGAAAACTTCATCGTTGTTGTTGAACATTCTAGGTCTTCTAAAAAAAGATGGGTTATGACTAGTAGTGGAATTCAGATAACTCTAACGCGTTATGCACTGAGTTACTCAGTCTACATAACTACTAACATGTTCAACAGTTATGATCCTCAGATAATCAGTAGTACACGTTTGAGTTATCCGGTTATTTACGTTGGATCTTCTTTAATGTTTTTATGCGTGCATAGAAACTGATGAATACTAAATTTTTGTTGTTCCCCACATGATGTTTGTTCTTAAGGTAATATCCGTTTAATGAGTTAAATATTTTCTTGTTTTGAGATTATCGACAAATTTTCACTTCATAGGTTAATCAAGGTGTTATTGAATTAAACATTTTGTTTACATTCCTAAACTTCCTAAAGCAATTCTTAAGCAAAGTATGAAAGCCAAAAACTTTTAAATGAACATTTATAGAATGCACAATTCCACTTTGTTCAAAAGAGGCCTGATAAGTAAAAAAGAAAAACCAACTCTTCGATCTATATATTGACCATTGAGTATTGAATATTAACATTATCCTATTTACAGTGAAGTAAATTTGTATGTTATGAAAAGACTGAATCATGATCGTTAAGATATGGTTACAGTTTACTCGGTATCGCGTCTCGATGAGTTTATTGGCTTATGGAATCCAAGACGAAGGCTAAACATATATGTTATCCCATATTGTCATCATTTGTTCCCTAGTCAGTGTCCGTTCATGATTTTTTTCAGAAAAACTACTTTTAAAAATTTTACAACTATGGTTTGATTTTGTATGAAAAAATATTGTAGACTTATTTACATTTAAATTGTTTGTTGGCACACTGATAATTTTTTTGGTTGAAATATTAGTCATAACTTAATGAAACAGAGGTTTAAGGACATAAAATCAAGAAAATGGGGGAACTAGGACTTCCTACTGTGATTTTGTTTTTTAAACATATTTGAAGTAGATAAACACAATGATTTGTTATATCTACTAGCACTTCGACTACTACTACTACTACTACTACTACTACTACTACTATCAATTATGAATTTCACCTATTCATATACACTTGAAAGAAGAAGAACATAAAACATCATTCATCATATGTTTCTGATTGTTTCACTGTCAGTCGTTTTTTCTTTTATTGATTTGTTATCATTATTTGTTTCCCTAGGCCATTTGCACGAATCGACTTCAATTATGACTAGTTGTTACGTCTTGTCTCCATGACTTTAGATCTGTCTACTGGACTAATCATGTACATAAGAAGTGATATCATTGGTTGTCAGAATGAGCAATTGGTTTTACAAGCATACAACTACTAATTTGTCAACAATTAATTACAGTTCGTAAATTTTCTGACGATTAAATCAGATGTCTCAAAAAATTTCTTGGGCCCCAGCCTAACAACTGCTGAAAAGATCAAATAACTGAATAGTTATTTTGCCTAAGTATGAGATTACTCAGATCTTCATATTATGGTTTGTACCCAAGACATGAAGACCATTGTTTGAGCTCACTATCCTTAAACTACTAACTAGTGAAGCAGTGAAATATTGATCACTTTTGACAAATCAATGATTCCATTATTTCACAAGTTGAAATCATGAGCCAATTGAAGCTAGACCACTATGGAAAACCTGGAAGCACTGGACTTCAGGGGACACTCCT